GACCCCTGGGTAAGCTTGTCTCACTGCAAGTGTACCATATGAATTAAGTGAAAATGTATTTTCAATCATCCTTGATTCTTATTACAATAATAAAGTGTGCATCTGTCTTTACAAATAATGTCTTCTCCTTTATCTGTCAGCTCCTAATCTGAGTTTTATTTATGAGGTCTGTTTTGTTTAGACTACACATTTGTGGGAAAAAAACATTTTAAAATATAGTTTCATTTACTTTTGCATATCGCTCAAAGTTGTTCTACCTATAACTAATACATTATTAGAGTGAAATGAGTTGGGAACTAATACAAAAAAGGGCAGCACTTAATTAGTCATGATGTCATTTTAAATAACTCCATGGATTTTATTTTTAGAATACTTTAAAATATTTAATCAGATTGCCTTCCATACATGAAACTTGTTTTAAAAATCGTGCATGTTAGCAAGATTTTCCTTTTTTCTGATGACCATAAGTGGAAACATCAACACAGGTTGTTACTGGATGGGTGGATTCTTGACCAGTAAGAAAAAGTCAGTTTGTGCTGCAGGAAAAAAATCCGACATATGATTTACGGCTAATCATGAATTGAAGACATTTCAAATTTATACAAATATCTATGCAGGTTTTAATGAAAATGGAACTGCTGTAGGGAGGAAGATAATTTAAAGTCACTATAAACTATCCTAGCACCAATTTAATATTTATTATCTAATTATATCGGTAAAGAAATACAGCGGCTGTAACTACCCCAAACTGCTGTTATAATGCAACTATATTTTATATAAATAACTGTTTTAAACACATCCACCTATATCTTTATATGAACTCTCAAATGTTCTTTGAAAAGCACAGAGGAGAAAACAGCATATTCCTATTTTATCATAACAATGACTTGAAATGTAACAGTTGCACTGATTCATCTCAACAGGTTACAAAGAAAATGTGTCTCAAACATTTTAAAATGACTCCCAAAGACTTGTCTGCAGAGCCTGTCAAATTAATCCGCTGTTTGTCCAAAGCAAAGGCCATGAAATTCAATTTGGGATGCTCCTGATGTCTGGGTATAAGCAGCTTTCAGCCACCAAGTGACAAGCGTGTGTACAAACAATGATTAGCTACATCCACAAAAACCTTCATAAGCCTGGAGGTGGTTTACTCTGAGATCCTTTATTAATGCCTGGTAATAAGTAGTATGAATATGAACAAGTAGGCTACTTTCCGTGTACATAACATTAAGTAATCTCATTAGCTTTAGGATTTGGTTGCTGCAAATTAATTGGCAGCGTGTAAATCAAAGCTGAGCAATTTGATTCCCTTCTATTATTCATTGCAGTGTAATTATGGAAAGCAGCTTGTACTTACTCTCTATCTCTCTGTCAATATGTAAATGCTCTGCTAAAGGTAAAACCTAATAATGGCGTAGGCTTTAAAAAACTAAGAATTTATAAATGAGGAGCAACTGGTTGACGAGTGCGGAGGACGACACTTTATTGAACATGCCACTCCTTTGAAATAATAACCAAAATCTATTGGAAATGTGTCACATCATTATTTTATATATTTCAAGAAACGTATCACATCATTATTTCATATCTTTCAAGAAGTTTTGCCACTTAAAAAAGCTTTATAAACTGACAAAGCTGTTGCTCAATCATTACCTCACACTCTTTTGAGCATCAGGTTGAAGATTTGCTGTGAACACTGCACATTTAATTGATGCAGCGTTCACTGGCAGAAATATATCTTGATGGCGGTTATCCTGTACAACTGTATACGGATATTTATTCATATGTGGATGCATATAGACATGAATGTGAGTGTCTGACTTGTTCCTAAGCAACAGTAGACCTGTGAGCCCAGTGACAGATGGTTGGTGAAGTTATTTTGGTTTAGAGAAGAAGAAGAGGGAGGGAACGATGAGGTGCCTGGACGGAGGAAAAGGGGGGGGGGGGTTTGTTTCCACTTAACATCAGGGAATTGGCAGCCTAGCAACATAAACTAAGTGAAAACATCCTTAGCAACAAGGAGGTGGTGTTTGACCACCCACTTCCCTGTTGCTCCTTACCCCCACATCCTTTTTGTTCGTGGTGCTGCCACAGGGCTGACATAGCTCAAGACTCAAAATGGACATACCCTGAGAAGACTTTCCTCACTACTTCCCTCTTCTTAATTGATACATTTCTTTTAAAATGCCCCTTTTAATAGCTGATCAAAGCACAAACAGGACTTTGAGGAAGCCTATGCAAACACCAAGGCAAGTAAAGAAAGTGTTAAAGGTTATGTTTTGATCCAAAGGCGTTTATCCACCTTTGGGACTCTTAATCACGCAGAAGTAAATACAGTCATTAATTACGCACTGATACAGATTGCAGGTTACAGTGCCACTGCCGAGTGCTGCCCGACATCAACCCCACACTAAGCAACCATCAGTCATTATAGTTATTTTAAGGAGACAATGACTTCATTACTTTGATTTGCATTGGGATATTAGACTTAGTGTTCATTTGTTTATATGGCTGGTAAAATGTGTTTGTTTGAGAAAAGATTACAGATGTCATCTTCTTTGATGAAATGCCTGTTCTGCCTCCGCTGTGCAGCTACTCAAGGCATTCCCATTAACTTAATTTCCACTTAGACCTACATCAGAAGTACAGGCTATACCATGTTCAATATTTTCTGTCTATTTATTTTCCACAACCAGCCTTTATTTCCTCTTTACTTAATTTTGTTCCAGCTGTCTCCCTCAGATTAAAGAGCAGGCGACATTACACTTCCCTCAGTCCTGAAGTTTTGATGCACTTAAAACAACACGCAATGGCATAAATGCACTATTTACATTTCTCAATCATGTTTCCTCAGTTATTTATTATTTTGTACTTTCTATTGCTTGACATCCTCTGAGTGGGAAATGTAAAATGCAGATCCAGATAGGCAATAGGAGGTAAAGCTTCACATAACAAACACACATATCCACCCACCCTAGCAACTCCATGGTACATTACATAAGCCTGCCAACCCTTCACTTGAGAAAAACTCATATCCCTCCACTTGACCCTCCCACCCGCAAGTTAAACCCAGTGAAACCGGAAAGGGTAAGCCAAACACCCATTTTTTCCTGAGAGAAATTGCGTTTGTAATAACGGCTCTCTGCGACGGTGTTCTCAGACTCAGTGAAAGGCTTAAAGGGCTCCAAATAGATCTGTAACGCAGGTCAGGACCCTTCCATCCCCCTTTCCTTCTCCAGCCCCCATCCTCACTTCTTGTTCAGTCTTAATTGGCTGCCATCTGACCCAGTCTCTGGCTTTTTACTCAGGACGACAGACGCTATGCTCTTCCCAAAATGCCACTCATCTGTGGGGGTGAAGCGCCACAGACAGATATGGAGCCAATAGATCTAAAGCAGTCAATACTGGAGAGGCGGTTTGATTGCCTTCAGTGTATTACCTGAACTATCCAACCACACTAAGAGCCTAATGCCAGCAGAAGATTAGACTATTATAGCTTTTCTACTTATTTCTCTATTTTTGTCATTCCTTCTCGCGGCAGTTCTTGGACACGGTGGCAGTAACTTAGCAACAAGCCGAAGAATAGAAGCAGGGCACAGGGATAACGATTCAATACATGGACAAGTGCAGAGATAAGAAGCATTGTCTGCTTCTGCAAGCCCCAACACACACATACGACGCACACTTCCAAAAGTTCATTCGCAATTTGAGCTTTTATCCCATTTTCTGCCTCATTTTCTTTTGATTTATTTTTCCTTCATGTTTTAGAAACCGCCAAATGTCCACATGCTCCATCATTCAGTGGAACAGGAACTGTTTTTTCTGTGGCGGCCTCTATCAGATAAGTGAGGATGGAGAGCTTGGTTAGACTGTTTATATGTAATGCATTTTTACTTTGCAATAGCTTGGGGCAAAGTCAGTCCTTTTTAGATAGATCTGAAAATTACCTACAGTAAATGACCATTGTTGTATATTTTCTTGTCCCACTAGGGGTCCTTCTAATGCAACTACACACTTTTTGCTGCTTCAAGACTTTGTGCTATTCATTTTGAGTTTCTTGATATTCGGTTTCATGAAAGTTTACCAATTTGTACAGTTTATGTATTTACTGTCACACTCTCTGCTCTTCCAGTAATGAGTTTGAAATTAAAAGGATAGTTTGGATTTTTCCTACACTCAAACAACCGTGTCTTCCTTGTTCTGCAAATTAAATTGGTGTTTTTCTCAGAGGACTCTGGTGGCTTTGAAAAAAACATGGATGAAGTGGGGAAAGTATTTTAAATATATAGCATGAATAAACTGATATCAACTTTTAGGTGGGTTTTTGTTTCAGGTGGCTTATTTATGTTTTGCTGTTGCCCCTATTAGCAGCAGTTCATTGTTTTGCTTTCGTGACATTACTCCTGTCTGCTCCTCTAAACTTTCAGCCACTATCTATACTGTAGGTTGTACACTGGATCATACAACTCCACTTCAATATCAATGTATCCCTTTAATTAATTTCACTTAAATATTTTTGCAACACTTGATGCAATTTCCTTACATCATCAACTATCTGTCCATAAAACAAAATGAAACTGATCCTAATGTGTGCATGATGATGGATGGCTAAGTGTTATCAGTAAAACACACTGCAAGCATTTTTTAAGGATAAAAGTGATAATTTGTTCAAAAATAATTAGATAATTGTGGGTCTATTCTTTTGTTCTGCCTAACTTCCACCCCATAGTTGCAGATAAATCTGTTTCTTGAGAAGAGCTGCAAACATCAACAAACCCATATTAGGTAATAAACAGCAGAATAAACGTACTCCACGGAAAGTAAAGTAGGCTTTATTAGGTTCGTTTTTCTTATCAAACGTTATCAAACCATTGGAAAACGAGTTTCAACAGGCCATGAATAAGCTGTTCGCTGTTAAATGTACGGGATGGAGTTTGATGTGGCGAAACTGTATGACCCAACACGAGTTTAGTCATGTCAAGAATGAGGAAAGGCGTTCATGTTGCGAATTGAACAAGCCCACAGGGAACGGAGACGACTCGTGTCTAATCGGCTCCGTTACTCTCCAGCCATGGGAGCTTTTTCAGACAGTCTCCTGATACTGTTTCTCTCTTTGTTATCGGCATCAAACGTTTTCGGTAAGTTTTAAATTATTTCAGTTACTTTTTACAACTTTCACCTGCTAAGGCGACCTGTTTTTTTCTTCTGCCCGACAAGTGGGGCACCTTTTGAAGGTACCACCCACAGTTAGAACTTAAACTGTTTATGTGCTGATGGTTTTCGATGTCATGTCCTCAGACTGAACACAGAATAATTGACTGTAAGTTGAATTGAATGCGGCACCGCTGTTGGTTTTAATTGCGCTGCTCTGTTGGAGCTTTCGCCACCTTTCCTTATAAGGGAGTGAAAAGAGTCGGGATGTGAGGACCAGGGCTCCTCCACAGGCTGCCTGGTCTCCGCAGCAATAATCATTATTATAATTAATTATTAACAACAACAGGGAATACACATACCTCTCCCTATATATAGCTGCCAATGCGGTTTTACTTGTCCTTAATTGACTCAAAAGCTACCTAAATAAATAAAACAAAATGACAGATTTTCTATAAGGACTATACAGCATAACCATGAAGTAGCCTACTGTATCTGGAAAAAAAAAAAATAGGCCTATGTTTGGGGTTAATTAGTAAACTACAGGAGCCATTGTTCATTTTTAATAGATATTTCTAGACTCAGGCAGTTATTCAAGTGTCTATTAAACTTTATCGCTCTTTGTCAGATAAAGAACGTTAACAGTGGGGACTGAACTTCTCTGTTCTCCAGTGAGCCGCACCCAAAGGTCATGCTAGATAACAGATATAAAAGCATTTGGCAATATTTGTTTACTTACATAGAATTGAAATGTTTGTGCAATTTCCTGACATGATCAAATGACTCTCAAAAATTAGACTTCAACATCCATCACTTCTTGTGAAAGACTTAATTTGAAGGATCTAGTGTCTGTGTTTGTGGTTGAAAAGAGCTGCCTGTCACTGCCGATTTAAGTGTGGTCAGCAGTGTTATCTATGACATACATGTACTGAGGAAGAAAAGTGGCATGTGACATATGGTTGACAGTTATGAAGGAAGTGTACTCATTTACATCCAAACACTACAAAGAATACATTTATATCACTTTGTATTATACTTTTAACTCAACTGAATTTATTTCATCCCTTATTTTACTTGGTACATTGCAGATACAAACTTTAAATATAAACAACAAATAAATGATGATTATGAATAAACATAAGGTTTCTTCACAAGCTGCAATGTTAAAATAATGTACTCTTTAATGAATCAATAATAATAAACAATAGACAATTGTCTGAAATATACCATTCTGCATAATGAATACTTTCACATTGTGTACATTTTATTGTTAGGATTATTCTTTTGTACTTTATATAACAGTGGGTAGCCTACTTTTTATTAAACTGATTTTGTGTTACATTTCTATTGTGCTGGCTATTACAGGTTCCAACATCTGCACCTCACAAGGAGTCACCACATGTCAACATTGCTTGGCTGTTCATCCTACGTGTGCCTGGTGCTCTCAGGAGGTAAAAACACCAGACGCACACTTTCACACAATGTGTAATTGCTCCTCCCTCCTATAGCTCTGTGCAGCAAGTTAGTACAGGAAACTTGGTTTCCACCAGCATTCGTCTTTTTGTCATTTTTTTTTGTTTGTTCTTCAACATGCTTACACATTGTAGCGATAGGGAAATGGGTGTATATCCTATGGACTTTTCAAAACGGGATATAACTGTGCCTGCTTTTAGGTGGATACATCAATATTATCTCCTAAATGCAAACCTAAAAAGCTTTTTCTTTAATGGATTTTCTTTAACACAATGATACTTTATATAGGAATATGGCAAGGGAGGATCCGGTGCATCCCGCTGCGACCTGAAGGCCAATCTGCTGAAAGGGGGCTGCAGAATTTCTGATCTGGAGTTTCCCTCCAGCACCCTGAATATTCAGAAGGACACACCGCTCAGCGACAAGGCCTCTGGCACTGCTGATGATGTCACACAGATAAGGCCTCAGAAAATCCATATTGCACTAAGACCAGGTACTTTCACCCAACGTCTGCCTACAACCAGTAGCTAAAAATCATTCATGACCAGATATACACATTGGTGACTAGACACCAACGACCATTACTATTGTTCTGGATGCAATATTAGCCTGCATTTTCAGAACTGGTTAACCTACGAATGTCCATCTGTAAATGAATTACTCATCCTGTGTTACCTTGAATTTGTTAGAAAACGTTGTTGTTCTTGCATTCCTCCATGTAGTATGTAATAAGAGTATGGCTGTATATATGAGACTCGAATTATACTGTATTTCTTACTTGAAAAACAAACGTGGTGTAAGGAGAGACAATTGATCTCATCCAGTCTATCATTCCCTCCTCCATCTCTGCGGCCCTCTGCTCTTCCCCTCTCAGGAGACTCCCAGCATTTTTCAGTGTCAGTGAAACAGGTAGAGGATTACCCACTGGACCTCTACTATCTGATGGATCTTTCGTATTCAATGAAGAATGACTTGGTTCGCCTTCGCGACTTGGGCAATGAGCTTGCCGTGACCATGGGCCGCACCACCAGCAACCTGCGCATGGGGTTTGGAGCCTTTGTGGACAAGACCATCTTCCCTTACATGTACACCCATCCTCCAGAGGCATTGGCAAACCCTTGCTTTGGGCAAGCCACTTGTGTGGCTCAATTTGGGTTCAAGCATGTGCTGTCACTGACAGAGAAGGTGGCTCGCTTCACTGAGGAGGTTAAGAAACAGCAGGTGTCTAAAAATAGAGACGCTCCGGAGGGTGGATTTGATGCCATCATGCAGGCTGTGGTGTGCAAGGTATGAAAATGTAGTTACATACACAAGCTTGCTGACGTGCAAAACGGAGAATCTGCATTACGCATATTAGTCTTTCTCTTACTTGTCATATAATTTCTCTGTTCATTATCATTAGGAAAGGATTGGCTGGCGCCCAGATGCCTCGCACCTTTTGGTGTTCACCACTGATGACGTTACTCACATCGCTCTGGATGGACGTATAGCAGGAATTGTCCAGCCCAATGATGGCCTATGCCACCTTGATCAGGACAATGTTTACAACAAAACTGCTGTGCTGGTAAAGAGCGATCATTCAGCACATTAGCATTTCACTTTGGTTTTAATAGTTAATACAGTTGTTGGACAGAACCTACTTCCCTTTTATTATTTTCTTCATGGGTCTTTCAGGACTATCCCTCCTTGGCACAGATGACAGAGAAAATGTCTCAAAACAACATTAAATTAGTTTTTGCCGTGACCAGCACAGTGGTGCCACTTTATAAGGTAAACAAACTGCACTGCTTGTGCCACACGCATTTCCTTAAGCTATTGGCATTAAAACAAATTAGTTGGTCATCATCTTGCTGTTTTTTTTTGTGTTCCCAGGAGTACAGTAACCTTATTCCAGGCTCAACTGTGGGATTGCTGTCGGAGGACTCTGGGAATGTTATTCAGCTCATTTCAGATGCTTATGCGGTAAGGATTTCCGCAAAATTGTGTTTCTTGAAAATTCATGCAATATATTTCATCTGTAAAAAATGTCTAACCTCATAACTTTGTGTGGAGCAGAGAATTAGCTCTAACGTGGAACTGGAGTTAGTGGGAGTTCCAGATGAGTTGAATCTGTCCTTCAATGCCACTTGTCTAAATGGAGAGGTCATCCTTGGACTCAAGTCCTGCTCCGGCCTCAAAATTGGAGACACAGTACGTATCTGTTGAGATGTTGACATGCACATTTATAGACACAGTCACAGATACATTTCCTCCTCAGGTGTCATTCAATGTGGAGGCTCAGTTACGTGGCTGCCCGATGGAGAAGAGCCGCACTTTTACTATCAAACCTCGAGGCTTTAAGGATTCCCTGGAGGTAACCGTTGACTTTTCCTGTGGCTGCGACTGTGAGGCGAAGGCCCTAGCCGACAGCTCCCTCTGTAGCGACGGCAACGGGACCTACGAGTGTGGCGTGTGTCAGTGTCACAAGGGCCGTCTGGGCCCAACCTGCCAGTGCTCAGTGGAGGACTACAGTCCGTCTGATGATGCCAACTGCAACCCAAAGCCTGGGAGCCCAATCTGCAGCGGGAGAGGCGACTGTTTGTGTGGACAGTGCTCCTGCCATGACAATGAGTTCGGCCAGGTGTGGGGCAAATTCTGCGAATGTGACGACTTTAACTGCCTGCGCTTCAAAGGGGCACTGTGCTCCGGTGAGTAGATGCACTCCTTTAGGTCATCAACATTGTTTGCACTTTTTGCATCTTTGCCAATATGACATCTTGCTAAAAAACATAATCATAAGAGGAAGCACTTACGACAGGGACGCCTGATCCCGACCGCACGCACATACTTCTTCATTACATCTGTACTTAGTACTCGATACACTAGAAAAGTAAACTCAGTAGATTTCAGATTGCGGCCAGCTGTCTATAATGACAACGTATTTAATGTTTCATTAAATAACACAACTCAACCCCCTAATCGTTTTTACTTGCAAATCTCACACAATGGATATGATCTATTCTAGAGCCTCTAATGTTTTGAACATGTTTTTCTGTTCATGTTCAGGTGGAATTCGTCATAACTGTAAGCACCCAGACTAAACAGCATTTCTATCCATTAAATAAGGCAGTGGCAGAAATCTCAAAACATTGACAGATGAAAAACTGCATGGCTAGATCTTTTTTAAATAAATAAGTTCTTTCTTCTTCTTCTTTTTTGTTTTTCTAAGGAAACAAACTCATTATGATACTCTTCCCAGGAAAGATAATATTGCCCTTTCCTTTTCCCTGTTATACGGCCCACCCTGACCTTTCTGGATCCTACTCTGGTTGTTTCAAGTCGTTTTTAGTCTGTAAACACACCTTAGTTAGTTTTCTGATACTTAGCTTGATAAATAAAGTAAACACAGCCTTTTCTGTGCTAATGTTTAATTACTACTACATTCTCTGTTTTGCTTGTAAAGGACTTGTAAATAATTGCATAATTTAGCTGCCAAGCATAAACAGTAATGCTTACAAATTGAACAATACTCGGTCAGGTCTGTAAACTTGTTTGAACTTGGTTTGATTTATGTTCTTACCACTTGCAGCAGTGCGCCATGATGTGCTATCACTCCCTCCCACAGTTACTCAATCACAGTGATGAAACATCAATAGGCTTGGCCATTGGGTTTTTTAATGTAACTGCAGTTTGGGTGGGAATTGTAAGGAGGAGGCTGAGGAAAAGCAAAATAGGAATCTAATTTTTATTTATTAAGCAAGGAGGGTCTATTTAAAATCTGCATTTTCTCCCTAACTCTCCATTACGGGAAGAGGAACCAATGATGTTTTAGCTAAAAGTCAGGATATCTCAACCACTGCTATATTGATTCTGCACAGCACCAAATGTAAAAAATTGCAATACTAAATCCATGGAGTGTGCTTTTTACATACAGTAGTTTTACAGTAATGGATTCCGGTTTCTAGTAAACTATTTGAAGAAAAAGGAAATGGGTATAAACATCACAAACGGTGTGAATATACTTTTCACAGCCTCATAGTATTTCAACATTCACAACTAAACTAAACATACTCTGGGTCACTTGTGGGTTCAACATGATCTGAGGAGAAGATAGAGGGTCATGTGTCTTAATTTTTCTTAGCATGACATAATTTTCAACAAGAAGGGGTTTCTCAAAGGAGGTATTTAGTCTTAATGATGACGCCCATGGTTTGGGCGCAGACGCTCACCCAACTTGCCCTCCCACACCTACACAAACAAATCCATTTCTTGTGTAAGTCAGTCCACAGAGCTCAATTGGGGCCATAACATTGTTCTGTCTCAGTAGACTCATGACAGTGTTGTCTTTAAAGAGTGAGCGTCCCTCCCTCAGCCCCAGCTCAATTGGAGCTACTGCGAACCAGGTTTCAGAAAAAGCTCCAGCTCAGGGATATTCCCGTTGGCTGTGTATTTCCTCCTGTGCTGAGGGGCTGAGGGACCGGTGCAGGAGCAGGAGTCAGCAAGCACAGCCGCAGGGCCCATAAATATGAGGAAGAGAACACAGGAAGGTTTGCATTCCACTGCTGACGAGAATTGGCCCAACCCCTTTTCTCTCCAGCATGTCTCTATCCCCACTTCATTTATTATGTTCCCTCTCTTCTTCCATCCGTGATCTGTTTTACTGTTCTGTCTTCATTCCTGTTTTTTTCCTTTTATCATGGCCCCGATGTTTACCTTCTCTTAAGCAAAGGCAGTTGATTAATGGATAGAATTACTGTGCAGTCTCACAGAGTATGATGTAAACCCTAAAACTCCCTTTTTTGTGTGTGAATCACCTTTCAAACTAATAGGAACAAGTCAACAACGCAGTCTTGTAAGGTTTAAGTGCTCTACACTGCAAACAATATTAATTGTAACATTGACAATATAGTTTCCACAGTTTTTCAACAGGTTTAGGTTATCTTCTCAACAGAGAAAGAAAGATTACTCAGCGATTGTTTTGCTAACAATATGCAAGACTGTTAAACATTAACTGTGAACACATCTTATTATCACAGCTATAAACACAATGTAAAAGAGAAGCCATTATTGACAGGGTGGAGACTGGGGAATTATTTCCTAGAGTTTTAAGGGGGGTGATTTGTTTTGGACTCTGGAATTACCGACCCTTGGACCCTCTGTGATATTTCATGACCAGTTACTCCCCCATTCTGATCCAGCTGGGGTGTGACTCCTTCACTTTGCTCTTAGTCACCCAGCGCCAAATCCTGTTTGGTTTCCTGCAGAGAACGCTGTAGTCTGCAGGGCTCTGCCTTCGTTTCTTAAGTAGCTTAATCTCTCTGTCTCTCCGTAATCCAGGGAGAAAAACTATTTTCTGTCTGCAAATTGTTGCATCACTATGACACAAATTGTGTGTGTGTGTATCAGTGTGTGTGTGTGTGTGTGTGTGTGTGTGTGTGTGTGTGTGTGTGTGTGTGTGTGTGTGTGTGTGCGTGCGTGAATATAGTTCCCAAGTTATTCCATTAGTCACCATCAATCTACTACTTCTGCCATCAGATGTTGATTGTTGTTTAAAATTGATCAGGTTGTTTTTTTACAAAACCAATTAATATCAATAACTAATTCAATCACGTTAAGCAACTTATGACAAAAGAAGAAACAGATAGTACCTAAGTACAAATCACGCATAGTAATGCTTAACACCTAACAGTAGGAATAACAAAATCTAAAAACCCATCCACAGATACACTGTGTGGCCCAAGCATGCAAAGTGATGGGCAATTGTGTCATTTGTATTTTGTAGTTTTGTTTGCGAGTCCCCACCCATGTGGATAATATACCTGGAAAACATTTTTTTTTATTAATACGCAATGTTGATGATGTTCAAATTGTACAAATTATATATTAAAGAATATATTTGAAAGGACTCTTATAGCTTCAACTACATCATCTTTTTGCTTTTTCCAGATCATGGGAAGTGTGGCTGTGGCATCTGTCAGTGTGACGCTGGATGGAAAGGAGATAACTGTAACTGCTCCACACAAATAGACACCTGCATGTCCAGGATTGGCATGCTGTGCAGTGGCCGGGGTTACTGTGAGTGTGGGGTTTGTCAATGCACTCAGCCAGGCGCCTACGGAGACACCTGTGAAAAGTGCCCCACCTGTCCTGATTCCTGTACTTTAAAAGAGTAATTATATTTCTTCATGTTTTAACAAACAAGACACATTAGGGAAGGGAGAAATGAACAGAGAAAAACAAATTCTTAATTACACAGAGTTCCTCCTTGTTAGTATACATTAAAAGACTGTATATAAAGACACAACAAATAGTTGATAATTAGTCATATTTTACTTAAATTATTAGAAGTCCTCTTCTGAAGACTCCTAATAAGTATACAAACTATAATGGAAAAATGTCCAGTAACTGTTGAAATGTATATTGCAAACTACTGACTTTGCCATCCTCAACCACTGCCACTAGCAAAGAAAACATCCTTCAACAGATTTTGAGACTAACTGGATTTACTCTGCAGTGCAACATCAATCAATCATTATTTTCCCACATTCCAAGATGATAACAAACTACTCCCACACACATTGTTTAACAAATTCAGGTGTGGTTTCATGCCGTGTTAGAGAAAGTACTCTTATATTGACCTCAAACTCAAACTAGTAACTTTAGTTATCATACAAATGTAGTGTATTCTTAGATGTTACTGGTAGTTTGTCCATCCCTTGCATACCAAACTGAAGCACGCACTGCTACTAAAGAGCATAAACAGTATACACACTGAGTACTGTACAACATTTACTAAATGGGACTCTGCTTACAGGAAGTGTGTTGAGTGTCAGCACTTCGAGAGAGGACAGTACACTGAAGACAACAGCTGCAGTAGAATCTGCAAAGATGAAATTAAAGTAGTGGAAGAACTGGGTGAGTTTTCTATTCTATTCCATCTCTAAACTCTTAACTTCATACTGGGATATTAATCACTCGTGCTAATTCTCACTGCTGTTATCCTGCTGCACATCATATGAGAAAAATTCCCCTGGAAGTAGCTGAAGGGATCCATTTTGGTCAAAAATGATAATGCACTGATAGGTATTTTATGTTTTTAAAGATCACTTGATTAACATATTTGTCATACCTTATATCTTCCTTATCCCCTTTCTGCTGCAGTTTTCCATGAGAGCAATGCAGCAGCAGTGAATTGCTCGTACAAAGATGAAGACGACTGTGTTGTGCACTTCCAGTATTACGAAGATGAAACTGGCAAATCCATTCTGTTTGTGATAAAAGAACCAGGTAATTATACGTTGTTTGCATATGAGAGACATTTACATTGTCAGAGAACTTTGCATAAACATTTAAACACACTGTTAGGGTAGAAGAGTGTGTTTGTAAATGTAATTTCAGCCTGTGTCTGACCGGCAGCAGCAAATGGGAAACAGTGTGCGTAACCAGTAATCTTGTTTTTCCAAAAACATACTTAATGATCAGCTAACCACAGGTACACCCTGCCACACCATAGACATCCACACATTTAGTAATAATATACTCTATATTTTGCAATGGAGTGTTTCACATTGGACTCGATTGCTTAACTTCTCAATTGAGCTCCACTTCTTAACCAACATCATGGGAACCAGGAAGAAATTATCTCCGTTTCAACCTCTGCCTCCCCCTCCTGTCTCCCGTCTCCCGTCTCTCAGAGTGTCCTCAGGGTCCAGACATCTTGGTGGTGCTCATGGCGGTGGCCGGAGCTATTTTGCTACTGGGCATCGTGGGTCTGCTCATCTGGAAGCTGCTGGTCACCATTCACGACCGCGGAGAGTATGCTAAGTTTGAGGAAGAAAGATCCAAAGCCAAATGGGATACGGTGAGAAAAAAAACTGTATAAAGTAACAGAATATGGCTGCCTTCTAAAGGGGAAAGCCTAAACTGACATCTGTGTATGAATGATTTAAACAGCAATGCCTTTGTTTTGATTTCCTAGGCTAACAATCCCTTGTACAAAGGAGCCACATCGACCTTCACCAATGTAGCGTACCGAGGCACTTAACGATTCAATGCAATGAGGAAAACTCAGGGGTCAACGACAGAGATGGAATGTAGTAGCAGAGAAATGGGAAGATCCTTCACTGTATCTGAAAAGTAGTTCATGCTGTAAACAACATGGTGTGTTATTGTACATATTGTAAACATACTTAAAACTGGTAATGTCAGAGATGCTGGCCTGATTTTAGGGTTCCTGTTTTTGCCATATGTCATGCAGTTTTCTGCAGAAGTGTACATTCAGTCGTTAAGCATTGTGGTCTTTTTACAAAGCTTTTCTATCGTTGCGGTTAACTGGTTTTAACAAGCGTGAAGCACTCTTTGGAGTGTTTCATGTTTGTGATGTATATTGTTTTTTTTTTAATGGGTATCAGCAATGGCTTCTGCATCATCCTCTTATTTGTGTATATTGGGCTTTTTCATTTTTCATTTATTTCTTCATAAATTGCTGAATTGTAAACTATTTACATGTTTCCATTGACCAGCACTATTTTAAACTGCAATGTCATGTTGTTTATTTGTGTATATAAGCATACTTGTATTGCACAAAAAAATTATAATGGCAACAATATCCTCCATATGGAAGAAGATTGTACAATGTGATGTGTATTTAGGTTGTACAGTTCTGATCCTCTCCTGGGACATGACCTGCAAGATTGCTGCATAGTTGTCTGTGTTTTTTGTTGCACTTTTTAAGAATGTCTGGGGTATTGCTCTAGTTTGTTACACAGATGGAAGGTATAAAGATGAACTATACTTAACAACTTTTGTATGATGCCTAACATTTTTATTTCTTTAAACAAATGTCCAAGCTACTTATTCCCTTTATTGAGTTCTGACTTACTGTACAACATCCTTAAACACAACATACGTATGTTTCAGATAGAAACAGCTTCAGGAAGACACAGAAAGCTATTTAAAATTGTAACATAAATTAGAAAGAGATATATTCTTATACATTTTCAAAGTATGTCTTTTTGATTCCCAGTTGACACAGGAATAACAAAAGAAACAATTAAGGATTGGTTAGCCACATTTTTATATTCAATTCATGCAGGTTCACTAGATGCAGGTTCACTATGATGTGGGTGTTATATTAATAACATGAATTTCAGAGTGCAGAGGCAAAATGTCCTATGGTCACAGGCACAGCTGTGAACATCCAATCTAGTCATAGAATATGTCCTGTAACATGGCACACATCATTAAGATTAGACTGTTATTTCCCCTTCCTGCTCTTGTGAGTGTCAGATCTTCAATCTGATATTGTTGTCACAAAATGTAGCACTTCCCCTCACATCCATCAACATATATCTCTGTCACCACATCCTGTTCATCACACTGGCCTGATGAGTCCAGCTAATGTGTGCTCCATCAAGTTGTTTTTATACAGTTCTTTGGTGATCCAGTCGTCCTTGGAAATAAAACGGTACATCACAATTGTCTTTATTCATTTCGCTATTAGTTGACGTTAACCTTTTAGTACAATCAATGGACAGGACATGTTGTTGGATCTGCTTGGCTGTTTAACTGTGCTCCATGCCAGTTGTATAGTAAATGTGTATTAATTCTCATAGGCAATATCAAAGTGTTTATAGTAAATTACCTGTTGGCTTACGGATAACTAAGGTTTCACTGTATAACATTTTGGCTCATTGGTATGTGTTATCTCTGCTGTCGGCAGTACATCATTAGAAGTCTAAATGATGAGTGTGTCTAGCTGCAGTGCTAGGAGCCAGGTGGTGGTCTCTGTCAATCTAATACCAGGATGTCCTGCTTAGGACATGTAATAACTCACCCAAGAAGATGACTACCTCCTGACTTGAAATTTCACACAACAACCAGGTCAACTAATGTTTTCTCTCAATCAAACAATGCCAAAAGCTAGGCCAAAGATAAAAAGAAAAATAATGGCTAATATACAAGGGTAGAACCTGTCTGTTCCTGAAACAGAAAACTGATACATGAAGGTTGTCACAAACATTTGTTTCAATCAACTGTTTAGTTTATACCCTGTACAAATGTGGCGAGACATGGGACATTGTAGTTTTCTTTTGGCTTGTTTTTTCTTTGTTAGGACTGGTAAATACTGTCCACTTACTCATATAAGTTCACTGTTGATATGTTCAGTCCCGATATTCTCCTCATCCATGTGTCATGCAAGAGTGGCCCATAGCAAGTTCATCTTGGCGCATGTCTCCCTCTGGTGTATACACGGTGCACTGTTCATATAGCTCACATGTGGAGTTGCATGTCTTAGCCTTTCAGTTGTTATAGCCAACAGTTTTCTTGTCCTCCATTTGAAAGAAGAGCAGTTTATTGTAATTTAGTTATACAAATCAGGTTGGAAAGGTGTGTGGTAATGTGAGCCTTGTGTTGTGTTTTAGTAGTATTGCCAATAGCAAATATTCAGAGCCAAAAAACAAGTAAATTATAGAACCACTTTAACCCGCATGCATTGCATACATCTAATCAATGAAATGTCAAAATATGCTTTTGTACTTATATTGGTCTTAATTGCAATATGAACGATAGTCCCTGAACGCATCACGGTTAAATGCACTGCTCCTCTTCCGCGTCAGTTCAAACATGGCGGCGCCCAATAGTGTTGTTGGTGTGGAGGGAGGCAGCAGTGAAACAGCACCTATCCTGTCAGATTTTACCACCGGGGATGAGAAGAGACCTCAGTTCGGAACACGTTTCCTCACAGACCCGCGGCAGGTCTTCCAGCACAACGCATGGTGGGTCATTCTTTACAGAAACCCTCAAGAAGACAGATGTTCGGTCGGCATCTCTGCCAGAGACAGAGCCGATATCCCTTGGCTGATGCTGTATCATAACTTAAAAGTATTAGATTATGATATTTTTGCTGAATTGATTGTATCTAAACTGAACATTCTTTCTGAATGTGTTTTGCGTTGATAGGGTCTTTAGCCAATATGATAACTTGTTATTAGTTGATAATATCATGTAAAAATATAGCATAAAAAGATTATGATATCCAGTATTATTTATGCATATTGACAGTCCCAATATATCAGGTACTGCATTCTGCAGTTTAATTTGAGGCTCCATAAATAACAAGGGCTTGATGTCTGTTTCCATATGTCAACTGATGGGTCTCAAGTTGTTTAAAAACGTAATATTTTCAGTCAGTTTATGTAATTAACATCAATGAATTAGCTTGTAGGCCTACATGTTTGCATATGGTAATGTATAGGATGTGATATTACAATATTGCCCTATTTTCCAGTCCAATCTGTTTATCACATTAAAACCTTTAATAAGAAGTATCTCAGGATTGTCAAGATTGTTCTGTGCTGTTATTCACTACATCACTTTGGCCACACTTTATAATATTGGGTTGTTGGTTACAGGGACAATGTGGAGTGGACGGAGGAACAAGAGGCATCTGCTAAGAGGAAAGTCTTAGAAAACAATCAGCCACTACCTCTAGAGAAACAAGGTAGCATTGTTGCTGTCAGACATATTGCCTTACACACATGTTGTATGGGTAAGGGAGGCTGTGGCTCAGTGGGGTAGTGCGCTGATCTTCGACTCAGAGGATAACAAGTACGAATCCCACTGCAGTCAGCATGTTGTTGTGTCCCTGGGCAAGACACTTCACCCTAAATTGCAAAGTTGCTTTGGATAAAAGCGTCTAACAAGTGGCATGTAATGTTGTATATGCATGTGATCAATGAGTCAAAATACACAGCAATTTATCCTGTCGTTTTATTTATAGTGTGCAAAAATAATTTCCTGTAATTCATTTTTGGCAATTGACTTTGATAATTGGCTGTAAACCTTTTACATTGCAATGACATAACTTTGTTAATACATTACCTTTTTTTCAGAGGAATACGACAACCGAGCAAATGAGTTTTGGAATGATTTTTACACAATCCATGAAAATCGTTTCTTCAAGGACCGTCACTGGCTGTTCACAGAGTTCCCAGAGTTGGCCCCTCGGAGTAGCCTTAACCATGAGTCCCGTCTCGAGGTCTCTGGCACAGATTACAGTCAGCAGGGTTGCCTGGATCAAGAACAGAGAAGTGAAGTTGCAGCTTTTGCTCACACTGATGGTGACATCCCTGGATCCTCTGCCAAATATCGCATTATGGAGGTGAGAGATTTGTTTGAAAGTATGTCAGCTAAACTTGAACCGTACACATTTAATGTCACCACAAAGTCACAGTTAACATTTTGGTGAATTTGATAAACAGTCGCCAAATATTAATCAAAACAAAAATGAACTACGGTACTTATTTGACATAGCAGATAAAGCATTTGTAGAAGAAAAGTGAAGGTTCTCACTTGATATAGGATTTCATCGGTTTTAAGACTAAAACGCAAAGATCATTTTAACATCACAGGATTTTTCATAACACTTCTAAAGAATGGAAAGACAAACATATTTTCCTCTCATTTGTCTTGTATTTTTCATAGTTCTTGGAATGGATGAAATGGATTGCTGCCTTTTTTTAAATATTTGTCTACTTAAATATCACAAATATTTTTACAAACACATTTAGCTGAAATTGATTTGTGCAACCTTGGTGGAAAAATGCATTTTCTAGTCGTTTTATTAATATTCTTTTCAGAATTCCCTCTCTTTAAACAAACAATGATACTACACTGAACAAAAATATAAACGCAACACTTTTGTTTTTGCTCCCATTTTTCATGAGATGAACTGAGGTTACCTACTGTAACCCCAGCTTCTATGAGTAAATGGCTTCGCCCTCTAAGGCTATCGCTATTGGGTAATCCCCCTGCGCACCCGCGCAGCACTGAAACACTTGTAGTCTACGCCCACCCGCAAGGTGGGCCCCACCCTCGGGCCTCCTTCCGGTATAAATAGGAAGGAGGCCCGGCTCCCATACAAAATAACTTTTCTTCAGCTATTCGTAGAGCCAGTGGGGCCCAGCGCTTAGAGGGCTGCGCCATTTACTCATAGAAGCTGGGGTTACAGTAGGTAACCTCAGTTCTATTTCGTATATGGCTTCGCCCTCTAAGGCTATCGCTATTGGGTTAAGGGCGAAGCATGATGTAGTCTGCGCCCAACTGGGTCCGCCCGGCACTAGAAGCACAGACACACCTGCTCAATAATACCCCATGCCTGTTGTGCCATGCGTAATGGCGCATCACCGTCCCTGGAACATAGCAAAACATGCCTATCTTCCCTGACGGGATGAAGGCTGGGAACAATACATACCCAGCCGCTGTGAGAAAGTGGAGACGAAGGTCCCACCTTGCCCAGCGATCATAGAAGGGGAACAGCAGCTCTCTGCGTGTCAGACAGGAGAGCGCCCAGCTGGAGCCCTGACATCACTCACTCTGACAAGACACTCCGTACAAAGTGTGTCAGAGGAAAAAAAGGAAACATCCCTCTCATAAGAGGGAAAAAGGACCGCTCTCCGCGTGCCGAGAAGCAGGAGAGAGGCGCACAGCTGGATCCCTGACGTCTCTCACTCCGACAGGACACCCAGTACAGGGTGTGTCAGAGAGGAACGGGAGACATCCCTCAAATAAAAATGAATAAATGAACAGGGGGAAAACCAAGATGCAGCAGTGCAAATATCTATAGGTTACTTACGTAACCCCAGTTCTCAGAGTAACATGAAGTGAGATGTCTCTCTATGCGCTTCAACGCGTATGCAAACAGAAGCATCAATCTCATTACGCCAATCCTGATTGGCTGGTGATCTTGACGTCTACGTCAGGGAATCCCCCCACCCTATAAGTAGCTTGCGCTACGACGCAGCGTCATTCAAAATAAGCACCTCTTCTCGCTTCGCCTTAGCAAGAAGGGCCGTCTGGTGAGACATCTCACTTCATGTNTGTCGTATACGCCGATCCAGAGCATCCCAAACATGCTCAATGGGTGACATGTTAGGGTTAGCGTTAGGGTTAGGGTTTAACCCTAGGGTTTTCAGACCCCCTTCAGACCCCCCCAATAAAGCAAAAATGCACATTTCAGAGTGGCCTTTTATTGTGGCCAGCCTAAGGCCCACCTGTGCAATAATCATGCTGTCTAGACAGCAGCTTGATATGCCACACCTGTGAGGTGGGATGGATTATTTTGGCAAAGGAGAAGTGCTCACTATCACAGATTTTTTCAGATTTGTGAACAATATTTGAGAGAAATGGTTATTTTGTGTATATAGAAAATGTTTTAGATCTTTGGGTTCATCTCATGAAAAATGGGAGCAAAAACAAAAGTGTTGCGTTTATATTTTTGTTCAGTGTATATGTGTTGGTGGTAAAATTGAAGGTAAATTGAAGTAAACAAAATAAATGCTATATGTATCTATTTGTATTGGACAGGTTGGCTGCGGTGTAGGCAATACTGTTTTTCCAATACTGAAGACCAACAAGTAAGTCAAGGCATTGCAATGTTGTTTCAAACCATTTTTGACAAGTGCTGTCTTCCGCTCTTGTTTTTTGATGTGCATTGAAAGGCATAACTGCAGCTTTGCTCTTTGCAGTGACCCGGGACTCTTTGTGTACTGCTGTGATTTCTCCAGCACAGCTGTGGAGCTAGTCAAGGTGAGATGGGATTAATGAAAGGATTGTGGGTTGATAGTTGTGTTCATCTCTGGGGTGATTCAATAACTGATGAATTAACATTGCTTTCCTTGTTTTCAGTCTAATCCAGAGTACGACCCTGAGCGCTGCTTTGCCTTTGTTCATGACCTGAGTGACGTGGAAGCCAATTACCCCGTCCCCGATGGAACCCTTGATGTTATAGTGCTAATCTTTGTGTTTTCAGCGTTGCATCCTGACAAGTATGAACTTCTTTCTCTATTGTTGTTCTTCTCTTTGGTAGTTACACCATTGACTATATCACTGGTTGTGTTAAAGTTTCACCCTGTCTCAGGATGCAGGCATCCATCAGTAGGTTAGCGCGGCTGCTGAAACCTGGAGGAGTGATACTGCTCAGAGACTACGGACGCTACGATATGGCACAGCTTCGCTTCAAGAAAGGTTAGTCAGTCTAATGTCCAGCGAGGCTACAGTTTCAAAAACTGTACAGTACTTTGACATGCAGAAAGGTTTTTTCTTATTTATTGCTTATTACTAGTGTATGCCCTTAAAAATGCGTTGCACTGATTTAGCATTTTTAAAATTGACTCGCATAAGATCATACTAAAGTAATCTTTTGTATTTCGCCATATTGAATGACTGTCACAGTTTGCTGCCCCTAAAAATGTTGAACAATATAATATTATACAAAATGTTGATAGTAATAGTGAGTCACCTGTACAAATGCATTACTTCCAATTGGACACTGCAAAAAAACCCGGCACTGCATTAATACATGCATTTTCATTAAACGTCTGCAATCTGTTGAAGACTAATGTTGTGTCTCTTCTATTTTAGGACGGTGTCTGTCAGAAAACTTTTATGTCAGAGGTGATGGAACAAGAGTGTATTTCTTTACTCAAGGTAAAAAGAGCCATATTAACTAATATTTATCAGTATTATTTTTGCAGAACTGTTCTTTGATTATGTATATAAAATCATGTCTTTCTATTGCAGATGAGCTCCATGAGATGTTCACTCAGGCAGGACTTGATAAAGTGCAGAACCTTGTGGACAGAAGGCTCCAGGTGAATAGAGGCAAACAGATCACCATGTACAGGGTATGGATCCAGTGCAAGTACCGCAAGGCTGCTGCTGAGCCACTCGAGACGCAGGGCTGAGAGAGAGGAGAGACCCTGTCTGGCTTGACCTGCACCTGAACCACAGCTGAAATTAAGGGCTCAAATCAAGGCGGTGCTTGCCTCTTGTTGAGGATGTTTGGAATTGAGAAGCTCTTTTGTGATGTGATAAAGTGGAGGCTACTTGATAGTTACATGCTGTAAAGACCCATTACACTATTTCAGCTGTCATAATGGTGATGGACTTGTTTTATAGAAAGTGTTCCTGATGGTGCTGCAATTCAACCTTCAATAGAGCCGATTTCTCATTTGTGCTGATGAGTTCAGTAATCTGAGAAAGTCTGGTTACACCTGTTGAACAGATGCTTTTAATGAGCTGATGTTTTTGGAATACATGGCATGATTTTTAGAATGACTTTATGACATTTTTGTACATCCAAAATAAATGAAAATCTAAACTTCCTATCTGTTATTCTTTTGTAATGGTGGTTTCAAAAGTGTTTTGATTAACAAATTAATAATTTACTTGGTTTGTACAATATTCCATTATTCTGTTGAATTGGAGGGGGGGGCAATCATAATTTTGCATTGTACTGGTATTATATAAATCCAACGTGTGGGTGTGAACATCATGGGAATGGCAACTTTCTGGTAAGTAATCATTTTGGGGGTCGACTGTTTGGGCGCTGTTAAATTGTATTGTGTACAGAGGGATTTGCCATTAGTCCAGGCAAGAGATTTGGGCTGGCGTGGACTGAACGAAGGTGAAAATACTTCAAAAATCTCACGAGAAAATATGAGATTTTACTGATTATTGTTTACATTGTAAAAACATGAGATCCGAACCGAATTTATCCGGATTCAGCTGAAACGTCTGCAACATCACAACTTCCGAAACAGATGGTTTCTTCCCTGCGGCGAGAAAGGCGACTGGAGCAGAACTTTGTTTTGATCGAGCTGAAAGCCAGGACCCGAAATTGATCTCACCACCGGGGGAGAAAAAGATAGGGGTAACTAGGGCTTGTTTAAAGACATAATTTATACTTGGTGGAAAAACATAGAATCTCGAGGGTCGCCATTGTGTTGGAACGAGATATACCCAACATAGACACGGTATGGACCTCGGTGGGAGGGATGTGATGGGGATCCCCGCTTAAGGAGCACAGCTAGGCGGGTTTGGGATACCCGGAGTTGTCGAGGCCTCCGTGGGAATCCACCGTCTTCTAGATTGAGCAACACCCCGCACTCCGGTGTCTCGGTCGTTTACAGTCAGCACGCGAGGGACGCTGCTGTGGATGCGGCCTAGCCTGGGAGGGTCTGCCTAGCACTGGGGACACAACGGGGACGATTGCAGGGTTAACAACAGGCCCTCCGGAGGACCGTGAAAATATTGAATTGCAGTAAGTATCTCTCGGCTTGTCGAACAACATATTGACTAAGGGTGGGTCTCTTTTTTACACTGAGTCCAGGCGTCGTGCCACCAGCACCTGACAGCACAGAACCGAAAGGATGCTTCTTTTTGACAGACGAGTGAACGCTAGCCAGTAGGCTACCTGACGCTAGCTATCTAACGTGTGCTTATAAAACAGTGTAGTCGTTGCGGACAGAAGTTGTGGTGTTTTATTTCCCAAGTCATCATCTAACAGACGACTGTTACTGTACCAACGTTCATTACCATTTGTTTTTTTTGGGTACGTTAGTCAATAAAATCATATCTGCTTTTACTAGCTAACGTTAACCGTAAGCTCTAATATTGTAATGCTAGCTAAATTATGGCCAACATTGGTATGCTTATTAGCACATTTATCCAATGTTAGCCTGCTACCTAGCTGATAACTGATGATGTTTCAAATCGTTATGTTAGCTGAGCCAGCAAACCTTTTACTATATCAAAGTTACACAAGAACAAGTACTAGTATGTGCTCTAAAGGTGCTCTACGAGTGTTGTAGGTTTCATTCTGTATTTAATGTTATAGATAACAGTCAGACATGTCAGCCTATGTTGGGCGTGTAACTTAAACGTTAACCTTTGCACAGGCTAACAAAATGGACATTTATTGTCTATTGTGGCCTTTTCCATTCCTGTGAGTTCACTTGGCAATCCCCCCAATTAGGGACCTTTTACAACTCCAGCGCAATGTAACTTGTGCCTATAGTGCCAGGGTGTTATCACATGATGCTATATTATTGCAGCCAATGATGACTACACATCTGGTCAAAGATTCATATTTAGTAACCCACTAGCTGTTTTATATGTGTGCTTTTTTTAGTGATGTAAGTGGTCAACTTGCATGGCTGGTTCTTGCCCAACACATATGACAGTTGAAAACATTATTGTCAGGTTTATTGATGACTCAGAACAGGAATTTTCCACATCCATATAGCTAAAAACAGCTGTGACTCATCACAACTAATGCCTTTTGAAACAGTGATCAGTCACTCCTAGTTGAATATACCAGGACCCACAATGCCTTCCTTAATCTGTTTTCTTGTCTGCAGCCATGATGGAAGAACTGCATAGCCTGGACCCCCGACGGCAGGAACTGTTGGAGGCTCGCTTCACCGGCGTTGCTAAGGTTTGTATCACAGCAGATGCCGCTGAGATGGAGCATGAGAACCCTCTTTTGTCAAAGTGCTTGAAACCACAGATTTTTCTTGATTACACATTTTTGTGAAATGCTCCCTTTCCTTGTCCCACTCCGCTTCAGTATCACTCTGCTGTTTGGCCTGGAAGAGCTTGGCCCCACTCCTTTTCTTTGTCCGTCTCTGAAGAAGGTTGAGCTGTGTCTGTGTTTTTTGGCTTGTGTGATATGGCATCTTTCCCTGGCTCATGATTTCGAGGCTGTATATGCAAGTAGTGATGCCTGCCAAAAAGGCCATAGACAGGACAAGGGTGGTAGGGGGAGGAGGAATAAAGACAGGGCAGGAATGCAGAAATAGTTCTTGACAAGGTGTGAGGGGAGGCAGCTTTCAGCCTTCCACCCTCTTGCTTGCTACATGGATGGGGCCGTCTTTGTGGAAGGTGATCTTGGAACAGTCAGGGAGCGAGAGTCAGCGCCAGAAGTGGGCCCTGTGCCAGCCATAGGCAGAACTGAGCCCAGAGCATGGCATGGCTGCTGCCGCAGAGAAAATGGCGACTCCTGCTAAGGCATCATGCCACCGCCACCCTGGATGACAAGAGATGCAATGTGTGTAGGGGGGAAGTGAGAGAAGTGTGTCAACAAATGGCTATGAATTGGTTGGTGGTCTAAAAGCCCTTTTTAATGTCACAGAGCACCATAGAGTGTTTTTTTTCTTGACCTTGAAAAGCCCTGTAAAAGCTCTGCTGCTCCCTGTGTTATCACGGAGTTGGTTTTAAGGAAAGGGATAGTGTTATCTTTAGAGGACAAATAACTAGGATTTGCTGGCTTTTTCCAGAGGGAGGTGAAGAAAAACACTTATCCATGGTGAATAGGAGAAAAATGGATGACATTATCTAAAGGTGACAGACAGAGGGAGGAATACATCCCCAGCAGCATGCCTAATGTTCAGCCATTTTAGGAGGGTTCAGGGAGAGAGCTCTCGTGTGCTCTGAATGACTAAGTATCTCTCCCTGATTGGACAGTGCCTGCAGAATTTTGATGTGACTTCAATTGACTGACAGGCATCACCTAGGGAACCTCCATTATGGCTGCTGCAGGTCTAGATTCAGTGGGAAGTTACGGTGACAGTATATTGCCAAACCCCCGCGTCCTTCCTCTCAGCTTCTCACCCATTTTACTCACTTTTCCAACTCTCATACAAGTGCATTCATACTCAGATGTGCACACAGTTTGAACACAAACTTCTACAAATACATTTCCTTCATTTTTTTATGCATATTTGTATATTTGCTCTTTGTGATTTTTTTGTTTGAATAATTTTTTTTACTTCATTTTAACAGGGCTCGGGTCAGAACCAAAATGAGTCATCCAATCAGAGTCTATGCAGTGTAGGCTCGCTCAGTGACAAAGAGTTAGAGGTTAGTCTCTGTTACAAATGAACAGTAATTTATATGCCAACCATCTCTGTTTGTTGATCTAATATATATATTCTGTTGATTCACACACCTTTCCTTACAGACTCCTGAGAAAAAAGCTAATGACCAGAGAGTCAGAAAACGGAAAGCAGACCATTTTGACGGTAACCAAGGTAAGATTGTTCCACTGCAATAATCTTTCATGAATCCCAAATATCAGCCTCTCTTTCTGAATTCCTGTGTTTCTCTTTTAGGCAAAGCAGGTACAAGAGGACATAAAATTAGTGATTATTTTGAGGTGAGTGGCTTTTGTTTTCTTTATTGTACGGTGTAGAACTCATGGCCTGAATAATTCTTCAGCATTAACTTTTCATACACACTCTCTAAACCCTTATTTGTTTTTGCCATCTTGGTCCTTCCATTGAACTGCTTTCTTTCTCTGCTCTTCTGTCAGTTTGCGGGCGGTAGCGGTCCTGGTACCAGCCCTGCCAGGGGAATCCCACCCGTGGTCCGCTCTTCCCCACAACACTCCCTCTCAAACCCCCCTGTCACGGTGAGCATGTTTGCACCTTGATCTCTCTTATGCTTTTAAACAATATATATTGTACTCTCTTTCCTGCCATGCTCTCTCTTGCACTTGTTTTAGCATCAATAGGTCAGCTTTGTTTACAGATGGGAGGAAACTGATGTGCTCTATAAACACTGTTGCCAATAATTAGACAGATTCAAACACACTTGTGTACAAAGTTCATACAAAAGCTACAACCAAGGAAAGCAATAATAGAACGTATTGCAGAAAGGAATAATGCTGCTATATTGGAAAATGGACAGACAAAAAAAGTTTAGATAAACCTGTGTTCCACACATTTGATTATTTATTTATGAACTGGAGGCCTTCAACTAAACAAATCACTCTAAAGCTTTAAAAGGGTTTTGTGAGCCCTTAAGTGTTTTCATTTTGGTCTCATATATGCCTTGCCTGATTGTTCATTTGGTAACTCCCAGTCATTATTTGAATGCAAATGTCTTCCACCATATTGGCCTCATTATTTATCATGACTCCCAGCTGTGGGTCTCAATATATTCTTTAATGGATTAAAGTTCAAGCATCATAGCCTTTTTTTATGAAATGAATGTTTTCCCCTCACAGGTGCAGCAGGGAAGCCCCTCCTCCTTAGGCTCGGCCAACACGGAGCACTCGACGTGTTCACTGAAGCTTGCTCCTCTTCACATGCTCCACAAAGCCACACAGGTACTTGACATGCCATCAGGGCTCGCAATTATTTTAACTTATTTTTTTAATTAAAAATCAGTTGATGTACAAACCAATACATTTGTTACTGAAAATAAATGAGAAACTTGTAGAGTTTTTTTGGACTTGTACTACATTTGTTTTATGAAACCGTTAACATGAACACTGTTTTTGTGCTCACTGTATCCTGTAGTCTGACCTTACTATAGAGAAA